AAGTTACACATGAAACAAAACATCAAAACACTATCAATTTTTCGACATATAAGCCTACATTATATTTTTTTTATTTTGGTTTCATATCGAAGTCTTTTCGACACTAAAAGTAGTTTCGAAAAGAAGCTCTTTGTGACACTCCTTTTTCACTTATCGGAAGTTGGTAACACTGGCTGACTGATGGCCATCGCACTGTCATTCTCGATTTTATAGAAGATTTAGGGCGAGTATTATAAAACTGCTTTGACAGTTAACTTAAAGTTAACTTTTTGAATTACATGTAATTTCAAAAATTAACTTTAAGTTAACTCTCAAAGTAGTTTTATAATACCCGCCCTTAATTCTATATTTGGCATGTAATGTTACCAACCTAAACATGAAATCAGGAAATATGAGAATAAAATTTCCAAGAAAAATTTGTTTTTTTTTAATTAAACAATACCAGAATAGAAAAAATAGTATAAAATATTCGTTTCATAAGACATTTTATCGCACTCGTCCTTTAAAAATCTCGCCTCCGGCTCGTTTTCTAATATAGGGCTCATGCGATAAAATCACGTCTTATGAAGCTTGTATTTTAATAAACTATTTTTAAATGGAACACCCGGTATATTATATGTGTGTACGTTAGAGCATATTATTCTGATTACAATGATATAACACACTTCATATTTTGTTCCACTCGTTTTTGAAAAATCGGCAAAAATATATGAAATTTTTATATGCTCTCAATAATTTTCGTCCCAAATATCAGACCGCGCCGCCTAATAAGTTTCACTTCGAAAGTTTCATATTTTTGCCGATTTGTCAAAAACGAGTGGCCCAAAATATGAAGTGTGCTATATCATTGTAATCAGAATAAGATATTATATCGAACACATATATAATATACAGGGTGTTCCATTTGAAAAAATATAATGTAGGCTTATATGTCAAAAAGTTGATAGTGTTTTGTTTTACGTGTAATTTGAAAAAAAACTTGGCTACTAACCCTACATTTTGTTTTTTTGTTTACCTTGATAACTTCAAAAACAAAAAAGTTACAGGTGATCAGAATGATATCGAAGATAAAAAAACACCCGGTACAGGGGGATTAAAAAATAGGAAAATATGCAGGGTTTTTTGGTAAAAGTAGAAAAAAAATGGCACATCACTATTTTTTTAAACCTTTGATATTTTTTTCAGATTAAGCAAGTCATATTTCAGTCAAAAGAAACCTTTCGTTATCACAAATCAACCTGCCAAATTTTAAAAAAAAAAAAAATGGAAAAATTTTTGAGCTGAAAAAACGATTTTTTCTAAAACTTTGACACCCTGTATCTCAGAAACTACGCATTTCTGGTCACATATTTATGGGAACTTTTTTTGTTAAAATATCGTAAGGAATGACATCCTGAAGTTACGGACCGTACTTAGGAAATTCCCTGTAGATTTTTCTATTTTTTGACCACCCTGTACATGCTATTTCAACTTTTAATACATAGTTTGATATTATTTTTTCAAGAAGCAGAAACTCTTATAAAGGATAACTTTTTTTCGTAAAATTGATAATAAAAAAGTTTCCCATGTGCTGCGAACTTAAGTGGATACACTGTATTTTATGAGAAAATTTCATGAATCAAAAATTCAAATTTTTTGTCAAAACACCAGTTCTCGCATTAGTTACTATGCAATAATTTACACTAATATAAATTATCACGTAATTCCAATCTGATTGGTTCAAATCAACAATCAAAACATGTCAGTTTATTGTTGGTATATCAGTTTTGACAAATGTATGAAATTCTTATCAAAAAAACGGCCACTAAAATCAAAAATCGACGTATCCGAGATTTTTTGAAAAAAAAATCAACCTTGTATTTTTGATGGATTTTATTCCTAACCTTCACGTACTAACTGTATTTAACTATGCTATATGATATCCTCTTTCGTTTATTGAATTCTAGTAAAGTTATCTTTGTTCGTTTTGAGTTCATTATGAAATATATTCACCATAATTATTTACACAAACTAATAACTGGCCTTGCAGTCCTCTCGCGTCGTGTAATTTTTACTTACCCCGGTGCGAAATTAAATCCGCCAGAGGCAGCACGTCGCTGCAGCCAAAATTTTTGAATTTCCGTGTTTGCAGGGCTTACAATTTGAGACGAGATCTCAAAAACTACTTAATATTTTTGAGTGAATCAAGAAGATTCGAAAAGATAATAAAATTTAGAACAATGCTCTTGTTTCATTTTTTTTAAAAAAGCGATGGGTTTGGATGTACCGAGCGATAGAAATGATGCTTTTTTTCGAGTATTTAGGTCGTGATATTTTCAATTTGCAATTTTTTTTTCGAAAAACTAAAACAACAGCATTATTCTTTAGATTTTTATCTTTTATTATTTTCTAATCCGGTCAAAAAATATTACAAAATAAGTGAGTTCTCGTCTCAGGAAATTAACCCTTTTTCTCAATTTTTAACGGCTTGTTGTTGGCCTCTTAAATTAAAAAAAAAGTTGTTGGCCTAGCCTCCAAATTTTATTTTCATTTTTATGTGTACTGTGGTATGGTTCCATCAAATAGAAAATTACTTGCCGTTAACGTCTAGTCTTTTTATTATTGACTGATAAAATTTTTGAAACAGGTAAAAATAAATTGAAAAGTGAAATTTCCATTGCAATAAAAAGAAAACTAAAGTCGATCGTGATCTTCAAATTCTCTTAAAAAGTTATCTATTTTATCCCCTTTCCAGTGGTATGTAATATGCCATAAAAACATTTTAACATCTTCACTAATTTGCTAAATTTGTGTATCGGAACACAGCAGGCTAATATTCGATATTTGGTAGGAAAACGTAAATAAGACCTTAATGGCAAATAATTTTGTATTTAGTGGAACCATACCACAGTACAGATAAAAATAAAAATAAAATTTGGAGGCTAGGCCAACAACTTTTTTTTAAGTTTAAGTTTAAACGGCGAATTTTGAGATTCAAAAAAAAATTAAAAAAATCAAATTAAGAAAAAAACCCGTTGGGTCAAGGATGAGTTTTTATGGCTGAAGTGTTAGCAAATGGTCCCCTCTTTCGGGCAGTTGAATTTGGCAAACGATGCACCAAACACCCTGTACATATAACTAACAAAGCATTGAAAACATTGGGATTTTTAAAGAGAATGCTAAGGGATTTTTCTGATTTGTTATGTTTCAAAGCTATATATTGTGCTTACATCCGTTCTACGCTGGAATATGCATCCCAAGTTTGGTCACCTTGCTACAATATTCACATTAATCGGTTAGAGAGAGTACAACGTAAGTTTTTGAGGTTCTGTGCCTATAAAATGTCTATACCATCGGATCACATTATTTATTCGGATATTCAAAAACTGCTTAATCTTCCATCTTTAGAACAGAGACGAAAATTTATAGATATAAACACTATTTATAAGATTATAAACTATAGTATTGATTGTTCACCTTTATTGAGTATGATTCTGATAAATGTACCTCAGAGATGCCTCCGTAGTTTTAACTTGTTTAAGATTGTACACCATAGAACGAACTATGGCAGATCATCGTTTGTAAATAGATCATGTGAATTGTGTAATGTTCATTGTTCAGATATTGATATATTTAATTCTAGTCTACCTCAACTAAAAACTGCAATGAAAAACAGACTGTTTTACTGTGATGTTAGTATGCCCTAAGTTATTTGTTTATTTATTCGTTATTATCATTTTTAGCTAAATTAGTTTTAATTTATATTGTTACATTATATTTGTAAAATTTATATTTGTAAATGGCTGGTTCCGTAAATAAACATATTATTATTATTATTATTATTATTATTATTATTATTATCTCGATTAAGGCTGAAGGACCTCGGTCGATGGCCTTTTGAACTGTATTCGTTCAATAAAGATCTATTATATATATATATATATATATATATATATATATATATATCTCGATTATTATTACTTGAAATCTCCTAAAACTAGGGCCTACGCGACGCGGTTAGGTGGAAGAATGTTACCGTAAGAATTTTCTATTAGAGAATATTCTCGTTCTCGAGAATATTCTCTCCTCACATCTTTAAGAATACCCCAGTGTAAAATGAGTCATTTATGCAACTCACCAAAACCTCAAGGGCTCGCAAAGCAGCGTTTAATTTGATGTCTTAAAACATGGTATTTGGTTCAAATATATCAGTAGGAGCAACAAAAAAGGAACCTGCCAAAATTTGAGGGTGCAGTGAAGTAGCCCTATTGATCCTCCATCTACCTTGTAAATGCATATTGAGAGAGAATTCCACCAATGAGGGTGGTATGGTCTCAGCTCCTAAATAGTGGTAAAAACAAAATATTTTTTTTTTTTATGTGGAGCCTGGGTTTGCGACTCAAATTTGAGGGTGGGGTTAAGACATGGATCGTCCATCTCCCCTCTAAATTTCATATTGATAATCCCACCAATAAGGATAGTATGTATGCTATGATCTTAGCTCCTAAAAACAAAACATTTTTTTTTTCATAGAGCCTGCATTTGTACTTCAAATTTGAGGGTGGAGTGAAGTAGGTCTATTGGCCCTTTATGTATCCTGAAAGTTTCAATTTGAAATTCTGCTTACTAAGAGAGTTATACGTTGACATCAATTACGTGCACATTCGTTCATAATATTGATTATTTCTTCTTAACCTCTAAAATTATGACAGTGTAATAAATAAATTGTATTTAATTTCTTGTGATTTTTCATTTTAGCTCGATTTGATAATTATAAAAACATTTAATAATTAAACCAGAGCCAACCAACTAGCTTCACAGGAGTGAATGTGTTTCTGAATCATCAATTTTTAGGAACTGACATTCTAGGAGCAGGCTTCACACAGCTAAATACAATATGAAATCCAGGCATTTAAATATTGTTTCAAGCTAGAAAATACTGGTTTTGTGAAACACCCAATTGTACCTAATCTGTGTTCTGCTAGATTAAAAAAAAAACAACTAAAAAATCATCAACTTACTTTGCGAGTAAATTTCTTAAGATCCTAGGCACTGGAGTTAACAGAGAAGCAGTTAAAGGCTTCCTGTCCACTGGGCAAGTTGGTTGCTCAGAAATCCACCGGGTAATGCAAGAGTTGCAGAATATATGCTCACATTCATGAGCCTGGAAAATGAAAATGAAAATTAAAATACCTTCTTTGACCTACATTCAAGGCCCTAAAATAATTATTGTTGTCTCTCACCTGTATGGGGTCCTCAAAAACAGCAGAGCAAATGGGACAAATTAGTTCATCGTCCACTTCGCCTTGGAACCGAGTCACTTCGTAGCCCATTATAACACTATTTCATGTTTTATTTTTTTGGATTGATTAACACCTATTTTCAAAATATTTATAATTATTTCTTGTTGACTTCAATTGGAGATTTGGAGAGAAATATACATAGACATGGACAGAACGAAGAACGAGCGAAATTATTAATTAATTGACAATCCTGAAATAAGAACGATTGTCATTGTCGACGTTGTCAATTGTCGTTCCTATAAGGCGATTTTCAGCCAGGGAATGATTATTATTTGGTTATAATGTTATAACCAATGCATTTCCGCCGTCGCGGTTTTAACCAAAGTAGGGGAAGTTGTGATGTCACATATCAGCTGATTTGCTTTTGGTATTTACCACTTATAACCGATTATAACCCAGCTTTGGACTTGGGTTAATCTTTTCGTTACAGCTTTTTGATGTTATTGTAATTATTTGTGGAATTTGTATTGGTGTTTTGTGATTTTGCAGTTGCGTTGTAGCCTGGCACAATGAAAAAAGTATACATTCACTCACTCACTGCAATTCACCATGTTTAGATCAAAGTTTAGATCGTCCCCAAAGAAAATCTGTTCGATAAACGAGACTAACGAAAGATTCAGCTCTATTTTTTGTACCTAAACAAAAAACTATTGTTGAAACGAAAAAACAGATGACAGTGGCGGTTCGCCCATATGGGCATGGTGGGCACCGCCTCCCTGGAGAGAAAATGGAAAAATAAAAAATACCTTTAATCAAAGATAATCCTACTTTGGAGTAGGATTATCTTTGCTTTAATACAATATTTGAAAAGGCCGCGACCTTGAAAATCTAAAAAAAATTGCCCATGGCTGTTTTTTATTTTTGTCGCCCACCCTTTCTTGGACGCCACGAGCCGCCACTGACAGATGAGAACAATAAACAAAATCCCACACTGCTATAACCAAACCATTTCAGCGGTCAGTTCCTTGGGTTATGATTCTTCAATGGTGGGGGTCTATGACGTCACACTTGGCTGTCAAAGTTGTCAACCAAAAGAATAACCACGGTATTTACCGATTAATAATCATTCCAGGCTGAAAATCGCCTATAGTAATCCGTAATCGTTCTTTCGCGTTTTTATGACGTTAGCCGATCATGATGTCATAGATTCGAACAAGTCGATTAAAGGCGATTAACCATTCGGTTATATTGACAGATGAACAATGCATTTAACGTCATTTATTACCGATTGGTTGACAAATGACGTTTGCTTCATTGGTTATCTGTCAACTATGACCGACGATTAGTTTGTTCGGTGTAGGGCAATCCCAAGGTTAATACACACTACACTACTAAGGATTGCTTATCGGCCTTGTTTTTGGTAATCGCCGCCATATCGGTGTGTCACCATTTCCGACGTCATAACTAAAGCCGCTTTCCACTGACATTAGAGAATTATGGCACCTTCAAATAGCGACGGTCACTAAATATAAACGCCCTTATTTTGACATTATTGACACCTACGCATGCGCATTTGTGACGTGTGAAAATAGTGGCGGTCAGTAATAAAATAAGGATTAACCTTATTTGTGATTGAATAATGAAAGGCAGTATTTGTTCCACTATTTTTCGAGACTTCACATAATAGATTTATATTTTTTGTTTGTGTTTTGTGGATGGATAAAACCGAGAAACGTAATCATTTGCACCCCCTAGAATGGCAGCTTCTAACATTTCTTTCATTATAACTCCGTATTTAGAAATTTATAAGGTCATAGGTTATGTTCAATTGAGTAAACAATGCGACACTGACGCGAAAAAATGGTCAAAATAGTGCCAATTTAACATAGTGCCAATTTAACATGTTGTGCCATAATTCTTTTTATTCATAAGAAATAGTGACTGTCAGTAATTAAATAAGGCCGATCAGTAATAAAATCGATCACTATTTGGAAAGTGCCATAATTCTCTATTGTGTTTCAAACACGGTGCAGCACAATGGCAATAGTTGTATTCCTTTCACACCTAGGAGGAGCTCCGGAACAGCTCCGGGGCTTCACGCGCTTATAGTTGTATTCCTTTCAAGAGTTTGAAACACTCGAGCTACTCGCTCCGGTGTTCAGTCGACCCGATTTTTAGGGAACAGATGCGTGGTGCAACAAACACTTTTCGAAAGGAATAGGGTCGTGAAGCCCCGGAGCTATCCCGGAGCTCCTAAGGTCTGAAAGGAATACAACTTATTCCTTTCGAAAAGTGTTTGTTGCACCACGCATCTGTTCCCTGCAAATCGGGGGCGACTAAGCACCGGAGCGAGTAGCTCGAGTGTTTCAAGCTCTTGAAAGGAATACAACTTATGTTCCGATATCAACTGCCAGTACTGGATTTTTTGTGCAGATTTTACTGTCATTTGCCGTTCCGATTTCAACAGCGTATACTCTTGTGGCCATTCAGTACTGAATCGACTGAATCCAGTGTACTAGTGTACTGCAAATAATATCGGAACGGCGTCCGCTAAATTCAGTACTGACAGTAGTTGTATTCCTTTCACACCTAGGAGGAGCTCCGGAACAGCTCCGGGGCTTCACGCCCCTATTCCTTTCGAAAAGTGTTTGTTGCACCACGCATCTGTTCCCTGGTCGGGGATTCTAAAATCACGATTCGACATACGACTCGACAGCGAGACGATTTTCCCGACGATTCTAGGTTAGAAATCTCATTGGAATTATACCTTTCGAGACGACAAGGCCGGTATCGTTGTCGAGTCGTCTGTCGAATCGTGATTTTAGAATCTCGGCCCTGCAAATCGGGGGCGACTGAACACCGCAGCGAGTAGCTCGAGTGTTTCAAACTCTTGAAAGGAATACAACTAGTTGATATCGGAACATGAGCAGTGTTCTGTGTTTGAAACGCGAAAGTTGCAACTGTCGAAGCGCAGTACGGCTGGAAAACGAATACGCGCTTGAAGCATTTGCGCGCTCAATAGCTCGATTGCGTGCTCAAAATGGTCAGCTGGAAAGCGGCTTAAGGGCGGGTGTTATAAACATGTTTCAAGTTAACTTTGTTTGTAACACTCAAGTTAACTTTAGCTATTAAAATGTCAGTTTTTATCCCATTTCTAAAATAAAAAGAAGAAGCAGAGGACAAAACCGAGAAAGGTAACCTAGAATTTTTTTATGGCTTGGGTTGAAGTTTTGATGGTTCCTGTTTCTGTTATTTATTATTTTTTAAATTGTCGTTCCGGGTGTCGTTTCTTTGCTGAATACTTGCTGGGTTCGGCTATTCAGCACGGAGTTAGAGTAGAGTAAGAACAGATTTTTGTCACGTGATCTAGGAGTGATTAGAGTGAAAAATTATAGACGAACGAACGACCGGAACGATCGGAGCAAAAATATCAAACAGCTAAACAGCTGATTTTTTCGTTTCAAAACAACAGTCAACCGCAACGTTCCAGTTCCAAATTTTTTTTGCACTTTCGTCTTTGTGGTCTTTTGACTCTTCCGTGTACTATAAATTAACTTCAATTCCTCCACAATAATGAACAGTGTTACCAATGTGTGAGCATTTGCTCACATTTGTGAGCATTTGATAGATCTGGGGGTAAAAATGGGAGCATTGGCAAGATGTGAGCATTTTGTGGGCATTTTTGGTATTTATTAACCGAAAAAATTAAATTAAATTCGTTCCAGCACGAGAGTCATGTCATAACTCGTCGCATAGTAAAGAGCAAGCGCCCAACTTTTTAGAAAAGAGTTATGTATGTCAAGATCGTCAAGAGGCCGTTTTAGAAACGCTGATTCCATCCCAGGATGATACAGACTCACTACTACTACAGGATGGCCTATCCTCATAAGGCCTGTGTGTAACAAATCCCCCCCACGCCAAAATTCCACTTGTGACGTAGACAGAATGTCATTTCTTGCCTTGACGTAGGCTGTTTAAATAGCTGGGGCGAGTTCAGGAATGACACACCCAGTGTGAGTGTGACACCGGTGCGACGCCCTAGCTGTTCAAAAATGCTAGACGGTGCTATGGGCCCAATGGCCAATTGTCAATTCGGGCACACCCATAAAATCGCACTCGCACCTTGTGCGTTATTTCTGAACTCGGCCCAGGACGACTTAGTTATGACGTCGGAAATGGTATTACACACAGCCTCCTATAGTTAACAAGCCATGAAATTGGAAATGACGGCAACGTCGCGTATGGTGCTATTTTGTTATTGGGTTATGTGTTTCTGTGTATTGCTTTCATTGTGTATTGTTGCAATTTAGTATTTTTATGGGCATTATTGACGAAAAAGTGGATAGAAACACACCAATATATTGCCCATATTTAGTTGATACCTGTTCCTTTGTGCTTTGATTGCAAATTTTTAGCAAATGGGTACAGGAGCAAAAATGAAGGTAAGGTAAGGTAAAACAATAAAAACAATATTAATATTTGTCTGCAAGAGCATAGGTCTCGATATATTACCTAAGATATTTAAACTTGTTCCAGATGCCATGAAACTACTGTGTTCCTGGGTGCAAATCGAACTATTAGGAGTTCCTTAAAAACTGAAGAAATGCAAACATTTTTATTTCCAAAAAAATTCTGAAGTGCAAAAAATGTGGATGAAAGCAATACACCAAGATAATTATACCCGAGATTATACAATAACGAAAAATTCTGTGGTGTGTTGTAAACATTTTGAAGAAACCGAAATAATTAGATTTGAAACAAACAAGGATAAAGGCGTAGTTCGAGAGTTCAAACTAAAACGTCCAACTCTTAAAAGTAGGTACCTCTTATTTTCGAAAATCAGCTCAATTATTTGAATGGACTTGCCTTCCGAAAAAATCCCGAAGAAAGAAAAAGTTAGATTTTCAAAAGACATACTGAAACATAGGCCTATAACACTTTAGACTCTAGAAATATAATCATTTAAATCAATTATTTACTGTTCTTATTTACAGAAATAGTTAAATTATTCATTGAATTACTGTTTTTGGCCCTTTAGTACAATAAATTATGTATTTTTTGTGATTCATATTAATAAAATAAAAAATATATATTTATACAAACAAACACCACTAGCACCACTTGGCGGTAAGATTGCGGTGTTGCCTTTTTAACTTCATGGCTTGTTAAATGTAGGGGGCTGTGTATTACACCAATATAGTGGCGATAACCAAAAACGAGGTTGATAAGCACTCCTAAGGCAGGCCGCACATCAAAGAAACATGAAACGTGAAACATCAAACATGAAACGTAAAACATGAAACAATAAATTACGAAAAGCGAAACCGTTTCTTTCGTGCATACTAATTGAAGAAACAAAAATAATTCTTGTTTCTTGTTGCAAATATAATTATTATATTTGCAGTCGTTTCAGGGTAGTGAAGTGTGAAGAAGAGTGTAGTACACAATGGAAAGTGAGGACGAGGTTTTTGTTGCTGTTGTGGCGTCTTTTTTATTATCATCAAAAAGCAAAAAAAAAGGAAACGACGTTACTGGGTACATCCATACAATAATATAAATCATAAACATAGCATATCTTTGGTTGCAAAGGAATTAAACAATTATCCTGCCAAATTTCAATCGTTTTATAGAAAGAGTAGATATACAAAACATTCACAAAATTATTACCTATGAAGAGAAACAGTGAAACTGAAACAAAAAAATAGAACGCGATCTATTTCATGAAACACGTTTCATGTAATTTAGTCGTCAGCTGTTTGCACTAGCGGTCGTAGTTTAGAATTTAAACTTATAAGGAAAAATATTATTTAATTTTAATTAACATAATAGGCAAAGAGGAAGATGAAAACGAGATCTAAAAAAGAATTGTTTCAGAATGTTAATCAATGTAAAACCAAGTATGCATAGAGCAAAAGCCCGCGGAATCATAACCTGTGGTGCAAACAGCCTACGTCAAGGCGAGAAAGGACATGCTGCCTACGTCACAACTGATGATTTGGCGTGGTAGGGGGCTTCAGGTTTGTTCCACACAGGCCTTATGAGGATAGGCTATCCTGTAGTGGTAGTGTGTATAATCCTTGGTAAAATATACAGTGTGTCCCGCTTAAGGACTGACCACCCTTCTAAAATTTTTATTTTTCAACCGATTCAATTCATTTTTTTT